AACAATAATGAACTTAATATAAAATAAACATTAAAAAGCTCTTTGCAAAATCCATTGTAAATCCCAGTCGTCACCTTAAAGTCAGAATGGATATTGTCTGTGGTAATAGCATCAAAATGTATTGGGGATATTCCATCTACCAGACAAAATCCAAACGCTGATGTTAAAGTAGCCAGTAATCATGGAAAGTCAATTAAGGGTAAGGAGTTAAGTGCTTACACTTACAACGTCTCAACTCCTACTGTCTGTCACTGCAGCCAGTTGTGGGAAGGCACTTACCCTTAAAAGTTCTAATAGTTCCTAAAGCAGAAATGAAATGAAACCACCCTAATATTTCTACTATATGTAATATATTACAAAAGAAATGAAATAATAAAAGATCTTAAATAGAAATGAAATAAAAGACCTTAAATACAATTATCTTAAATAGAACTACAAACCCTACCTTAATATTTCTTATGTTGTTCATAGTCCCAACCTCCTCCCTTTCTCTTCAAAACTTATTTAAGTATAACACAGGAAAGCCGAGAGAAGCCCAGCTACTTGAAGTTAGGCTTTCTGTATACTGAATAAACTTAAATTTTAATTTTAGCTACTTAAAGGTAGCTAAGTACGTCTAGCGACAAAAAAGATATTTTCCTTGTCAAAAATTTTTTTGTTAAATATTTTCATATTTATTATAAAACAGTGTAAAAAGTTTTTTTAAATCCGAGTATTTATAGCCATTATTTTCTAGTTTGTTTATGAATAATATAACATTATCCATAAAAGCATTATTATTATTATTACGAACTGTTAAAAATCTTTTTAGTTGAGATATAATGATGCCTTTTAACATCATATGTGAAATAACACTATGTGGGGTGGGTAAACCAAGAATAGGAAAATTAAATTCCTTCTCTTATTAAAATAGCCAGATTTGCTTTTGCCTTCTACTAAATTAATGTCGAAGTCTAAATAGTTGGCATGAACATCATTGTTATTGCTTTTCTCCATTGCAAGTTCTTTTGGATATATTAAGTTTGGTGTAAAGTTAAAGTTACTTATGGCAATTAAATCATCTATGCAATAAATATATATAAAAAGAGGTAAAAAATGGATTAATTTTGAGAATTTTTGTAAAAACATCGATTTTGCTTTTGAATGATCTGAAAATATAAAATTTATAAAAAAAAAACAACTATTTGAATTAAATGATACAAAACTGAATCACTTGTTAAAATATTTGTTCAATTTTGAATTTAAATTTATTCACATTAAGGATTTAATCATAGATTTAATTAAATTTCGATTAAAATGGAATCAATTTCAGGTAAAAACAAAAAAAGAAAAATTTGTTATGGTAATAGATTTTAAACATAAAATGTATGATGATTTAACTTTAGCTTATTTTAGTTCATAAAAGTGTTCAGGAAGAAATACTCCCTTTCAAATCATCACAACCTTTTGTCAGTTTTAAATATAATAAACTTATAGGACCTCTTCTCTTTAATTATAAAAAATTTGTTCAGGAATTAAATCCGAAAGAAATTAATAATTTGTCATTGTATCAACAGTGAATTTATTGACTCTTATCACTATCATTTTATTACTGGTAATTTTAATATTATAAGAAAAATAAATAATTAAAATTTATTTCAGAAAAAAGGAACTAAACTTATAATCTTCAAATAGACAAATAACGGTGATATTTTAAAAGATTTGGAAAAAATGTTGATGATTATATTATCAAAATCAGTAAAAAAACTCATTACCTCTCCCATGTTTCTTTCTTGAATGGAAATTATTTTTATTAATTTTATAAAAAAAAAACAATTGAGATCTTTAAATTTATCTAAATATTAGATAGATATTTCTTTTAATAATTTTAAAAATAAAATTAAGGAAATTCAAGAACAATTTATTATTACACCCATTGATAAAGCCGGTTGTAATTTTGGTTTATATGTAAAAAATTTTATGCACAAATTTTAACTAATAAAATTATTACAACAAATACTTTTACAAAAAGTACTTTAAATAAAAATAGTTATTACCAATTTGAAGAAAGCAATTAAAAATGGAATATTAATATAGACTCTTCTTGCTTCAATCTATCATTTTTATATTTAATTCTGAAACTATTTAAAAAACCTATCAAGTTCATCTTTATTACCAACTCTTTAAATACAGTTACTAAATCTGTTTCTATAGTACTTAATAATATTTTGGATATTTTATTTGAAAAAATAAAGTTACTGTCTTCAAATGATTCGTATCATTATTTCTGGATCATAAAAAAACAATATTCCGGTTTTGGATTGCTTAAATTATTTAAACTCTTTACAAACAGCCAACTCTTTTATTACTTATGATTTGACTATTTTATGTACTATAATATATGTGAAAGGTTTAATTAGGGTCTTTAATGACCTACTTGATAAATTTATAGATGCAGAAATAATTATTTCAAAACATAAATTCACCAAATATCAATGTAAAAATATACTTAGTTTTTGTACATATAATAGTTATATCACTTTTAATGAAGAAGTATATAAACAAACAGTGGGTATTACAATGAGTGCTTATTGGGTGGTTCTGTTTCTACTTTTAAAACTTAAATAACTTTAAGGGTGACTGCCTTCCCTTCCCCTGCAGACAGCGAAAGGCAGTAGGAGGTGAGACGTTGTTGGTTTAAGCAATCACCTCTGCACTATTCTTTTGATTTTCCGTGAAGGTCAACTTGTTTAACTTCAGTGTTTTGGATTTTCCTTGATAGTTGGGATATCCCCAATGCTTTTTGGGTGCTATTTCCCCAAGCTTTATCCGTTATAACTATAGTTCACTAACCAGGAACGGAAATAAATGCATTAAATGATTATAAATTCTTTATTGTTTGATTGTGCTGAAATAAATTGCCTATTAACAATAGTTGTAATTGGTAATTATTGAGCTATTTATCTATGTATTTTAATTATTTTGAATACCTCTTACAAACATTTGTGAGCCAGTGTTAAAAAATATCTTTTTTTTTAAATAATCAAAATTTACTTCAAAATCCAAACAACCTTACTTGTTTCAGTAAATATCTAGTGATGTAACAGTCATATCTGTTCTGCATGTTCAAACACTGAAGGTGTAATTAGGCTCATCTCGTATATCAAGATTTTAACCAGTTACATTATACTTTTCCTGGAAACCTTTATCTTGACAGATTATAGTGTACATTGTAAAGTTTATGTATAGGTTGGCTTTAACAGTTCCCCTGGAAATGTGGTTGTTCAGAGTATTAATATCTCAAACGTAAATTATAAATTTTTTTTATATGTTTTACTTATTATATTCTTTTCAGTTTCCTAACTGAAACAACATCTTGAATACTAAATATAATCCATAAAAAGCACATTTTCAAAAATTATTTGCAATTAATAACCTCAGAGTTTGTAATTTTGTTCGTGTATTTCTTTCTTTACATGATGGTAGAAACTGCTCTTAAGAAGAGTAGCAGTGATTGTGCACATGTGGACAGTACAAGATATATGACATAATTTAATTATTCACTGGTAATTAATAATTTAAATGAGAGCAATTAATCTAAACAACTACATGTATTATGTGAAGATTTATTTTTATTGAATTAGTATACAGTATAAAATCTCTATTAGTTTTCATATTTTAGAATTAATGTTGTCTTGTAACTGATTTCTACCTATAAGTTTGTTGTATGTGATGAAAAATTTGAAATTGGGCAAATCATTTTATTAGTGTAATAAAATTTGATTTTTAATCATTTACAGAGTAAGTAATATTTTATTATGTACAGAGATAATAACAAAGAACATATATTTCTAATTAAGAGATTTGGTAAGATATTGATGGTACCATCTTAGTAAGTAAAAAGTTATGGGCTATCTATCTAAAGTGAGAATGAAAGCATTTATTTATTTTTATCAGAAAAATACCTTTAAATTACTATTAATTTTTATTTACAGCCTGTTGCAGAAATAGCTGAGAGTATCCGGTACAAAAACAAAGAAAGGGGCAGACAGCAATGCCCCCTTGTACCAATTTTACTTCATACAGATGCTGCACAAGCTCTGGGCAAGATCCCTGTCAATGTTTCAGATCTTAATGTTGATTTCCTAACAGTTGTGGGTCATAAGGTTTGATCTCATTAGACAATTCATTTTGTGAAAATGTGTCATTGTAGCATTGTTAAAGAAGCAGGTCCTGTATGTTGAGATTTATTCACATTTTTATCATTCACTCAGGTTTATAGTTAGTGACTTGTGTTCTTCTATCACTTGCTGGCTGGGTTTAATACATATAGATATAGTAGATAAGGCTGTGTGGTTTCATTAATTGTATGTACCGGCAACCTTAAAGAGAAAATTTGTCTTTTGTATTCATTCCAACTTCATTACAGCTTAAGTTGAAAATATCTGAGTATTGTGAAACTTGTCGTTTGAGTTATTTTTGGATTCCCAGAATAAAATGAATTAAACTTGTCAAGCGAGGTTGACAAATGTGAAAGAAATAACAGCATATTGAGGTTTTTCATGGGAAACAGAAAAGTCCATTAAATATGACATTTGTTCATTACCCAAAATTTACAGTGAAGTGATGATTTCAGATATAGTATGCATGGATTGCACTTAAGATTATGGCTAACCATGTGTATGCAGGTTTTGTCATTTGAAAATGGAATTTCATAGCTTTTTACATTTTAATGTGTACTTTTTATGATTAACACACAGTTTGGAACACACGACTCATATGGAAATTATGTTATGCAGATACATCATGAATCTTATTGGTAGTTTCTATTTAGTGCTTCTTGTTGTCCTATAAATCTGTTATTCCCAAACTAGAAAAGAGAAATATAGATGAAGAAGAAAAACAATTGTTTGAATATCTTGTGTTAAACAATATATTAACTAGTTACTGTTATTGATTTTCAGTAAATTGGAGTTCTCGATTGTTCTGTAGAAAAGATGCCAAATGTAAAAAAGTAATTGTTTGCCAGTTTACCTACAACATGTAAAATCTATTAAACAATAAAAAGAATACGTAAAGTACAAAATACATGTGAAGTTCTACATTCAACGTTTTACCATAAAAAAATATATGTGAAGTTCTACATTAAATGTTTACCATAAAAAAAATATATGTGAAGTTCTACATTAAATGTTTACCATAAGAAAATACATGTGAAGTTCTATATTCAATGTTTTACCATAAAAAAATACATGTGAAGTTCTACATTCAATGTTTTACCATAAAAAAATACATGTGACGTTCTACATTCAATGTTTTACCATAAAAAAAATACATGTGAAGTTCTACATTCAATGTTTTACCATAAAAAAATACATGTGACGTTCTACATTCAATGTTTTACCATAAAAAAAAAAATGCATGTGACGTTCTACATTCAATGTTTTACCATAAAAAAAAA